CCAAACATACTTTCACATCTACAGTAACCTCACTTCGGTCTAACTTCTATCATTGATGTACAAATATGCCATCACACATAATTGGCACAAGTCAACCTTCTCACTCCTTGGTGCGCACTCTGCTAGTTACGTAATCACATGCTTGTACGTAGCGTTTCCCCCCTATTACGGCTCATTCTCCTGTCCTGTCATGCAGGTAAAATGTCTTTCCATACCTTTTGCACGGTTCTGCTCCATTCCAGCTCCATCGTAGGTATTCGCAAATTTCCATAGATAGTCCTTCACAGAGACACTTATCAAAAAGCAATTTATTAGTCTAAAATACACGGGCAATCCACCCAGCGCCCGTCCTCTTTCATTGTACTATCTTCAAATATTCTTCAACAATATAAGAGAGATTATGCTACTACATGTACCTTCCGCTCTTCCCTACGATAAAGCCAAATCTTGCTTATTGATAGCAATTTCGAGTTTTTTTCAAAACCTACTGTCGAATCCGGTTTCATAAGTAACTTAACATCACTACACTGGTTAAAATAAATGGTCTGATAATTCAGATGTAATCACCGCGATGTTACATTCAGGTGCAACGTTGGCAAATTTCAACTTTTTCGTCTGTTTTTCGGTGTCTCAACTGCGAATTTTAGATACATTAACAATAAGTATGTACATTTGTTTCGGCACCATCACTAATGACCCCAGTTAGAAATTCTCATTTTGTTTCTCTGTTACTCCGCGTTTCTCTCTGTCTAACTTCTTTAGTAGCATAGTTTCATTTATATCAAATTCACTCACATCATTAAACATTCTATGAGAGCACGCACCCTATATAACTCAGCACACATCACATCACTTAACGTTTGTATGAGGTTTATTTGTTACTATCGACACACAAGCATATCAGCCACACACTGAACACCACACACCAGGAACTTATTCATACAATAAAAAGGATTCGCACAATTAATCCTCACTACCATTAGTACACAATCTACTACTTCACACAACACACAACATACACACACACCCCCACACACAACACACACACACACACACACACACACACACACACATCGACGACACACCATCACACACTACACAAACGACACACTCCACTCTCTCACTCTCTCTCTGTCTTACTATCCTATCTATCTATCTATCTATCTCTCTATCCTCTCTCTCAACTATCGCTCACTTACTCCCTCATTCACCGGCGTTCACGGCACGGCCTAGCTGCCCTTTACACCCTAGACCTTATTCCCCTCCGTCGTTCGGTGCACGTGGGTATCCTACCACATGCTGCGAATCCTAAGCGCACGGCCACTTGTTAACAATTATGCGATTGTCCCGACACCAATGATGACAAAAAACAAGGATAATAAATTGTACATGAAATATTCCAATACTCAGTAGAGATGTCTCAAGACATGCATCAATAGGAGTCTTACCAAGACAGCTAGGCGCAGATACAATGTATAATATATATGAGAATGAGTAGAGAGTGATATTTGCATATTATGAGGTCTATGAAGATTCTATGTCATGTAGATGTGAATATACTTGTATTTGAGTCGAGAGCGAATCGGGCTCGCCAAGCACATATATTCATAAACGAAACTTGCGCTGACGGCCCAGGATCAAGAGTGATTAGGCAGTATTCAGAATTGATACGAATTAACTTGCTGGAGTCTGGCTAAGGCAGTCAAAGTTTAGCCTGTCGATTATGTTAGTTAATTTAAGGATCTTATTTACTAGTAGATGCTTAGTTGAACCTGTACATTTATTGCATATTGTCCTTTTCCAAGTCTTTTCTTGCGTTCTCTCAATGATTTGAGGTATACACTCATTCCTCTCTATTTATGACCATTCATGCAAGCTGCTGGATCCCTGTCATTCTTAAATCTCTCCAAAGGAGCTGGCTTATTTTCTGTCTGTTTTCATTGGCATTATCATGAGATGCAGTTATGGCCATTTCTTGCTACTCTTTTTATTTAGACATAGTTGCATATCAAGGGTTCCCCCATGGAGCCCAGTGCCCAGACCTATTCCCAGTTTTAATGCCTATTAAAAGCGGATTTTCTTGAGGCTTCTACAATTCACACTTTCTGTACCTGTAATTCCAACCTTTCTTGTCTTACTACGCAATGAGTGTTAATTTATCGATCAGTATTTTAGTTTAATCATTACATTGCGTCACTTTTGTCCACCTAAGAAGTACCCAGTTAGCTAGTCATATCTTTAAAATTATCTCCATGCTTTAGTAGGTATAGGGTCAAATCATAGACAGTCTCTCTAGCCGTCTTACCCTGATATGATTGTTTACATTTTGGAAGACAATATTCCATTTAGATTACTATGATTTTAGGTCATACGAGCGTGTGTGATTTATTAATTTATTTATTCCATCTTAATAATGCATATAGGCAAGGGTAAGCAACCGAAAACAAGATCTTGTTTGTAGACTGTTTAAATTCTCCCTTCAGAATATTAAAGAGTCCAA